CATGACCCTGGATAGCCCTCAAAGCATTATCCTGTTTCACCGCCTGTACCGTCTGTTTCACCGTCTTCCACCTTTCACCCAAGGCATTGTGCAACTTGGGGGCAGAGACCGCTGCCGCCTGAGAGGCATCCAGGTGATAGGCCTTCTCTGTATCCTCAAAAGCCTTCTCCTGCCAGGGGAGAAGTCTTTGTTCCTTAAACCAATCCACGATCCCAGGGGAAACAACAAGTCCCTTAACTCGTGGTTGAAGTGAGGTCAGGAAGGAAGGCCTGTCTTGTACAGGCTGCACTGCTACATCCGAGTGGACCTCAGAGTGCTCTGTGCTAGTGTGCTCTGTTAACCCTTCCGGAGGAGGGTGTTCTGAGGGAGCATGTTCTGACTCTGAAAGAGCCTCAGATTCAGAAGGATGCAGGTCGATAGCATCGACCAGCTCTGGATCCGTAGAAACGGATGTCACGTCCCTGATAGGGGACCTGGACCTAACACGTGAGGCAGAAGTCGAACGCCACCGACGTCTCGGGGCCCGAACGTCAACCTCTGAGTCCTCAGACTCCTCATCCTCACGATGAACCATTGCACGAGTAGTGCCTTGATTCAGATGGCCTCTGAGCGAGGACTGCTGGTCCAAAACAGATCTCATATCCGTCATAAGACGGTTGAACTCTGAGAAAACATCCCAATGACCACTAGTGGGCAAAGGGAAATTGGGCTGAAAGCCCGCAGTACCTCCCGCAGTCGGCACCGAAGTGGCAACTGGGCGTGCTCCAACATGTCCCGGCACCGAGGTGGCGGAGAACATGGCACGATAAGTACCAGTACTGCTTGCAGTTCCCGTTGGCACGGGTGCAAAACCAAGGTGAGGCAACGGAGTAAACGCACCTGACAGTTGAGTATCAGTTCTCATCCCTGCCTGCACGTACGTTGCCGAGGGAGCAAAATCCCCACGTGACGTAGTGGCGGGCTCCATAACTGAAAAAATGCTGTAAACAAAACAGCAAAAAATGGAATAATCAGACTCTAAACACACCAAAAACAAGGACCCACAGAGACAGTGGGACCTCCGGAACCTTCCTGATCCAAAAGGAAACAGGAAAGATCGCTAAAATGTGAAAAAAAACACACCACCAAGCGAGAACTACAAAATCCACTTACCTAGCCGAAGGCAGTGAAGGGAAAGAGAAGGTCACGTGGGTTAGTGCCCGGATGTTGTTTGTTTCTGTGAAGAACTGCCACCTTGCGATTTCTAGGGAAAACGCCATTGTATTTCGGAGGGTAGCGACGTATAACTAAGTGCAGCGTTAACTCGTGGGGACAGGGGCCGCAACTTATTTTCGAAATTCCGTCGTTTTGCTTCATTAAACTCAAAGGAGATTTACCTATAATAGTTCGGAGAGTATCTACGACAATTTAAAGTACAACTTACCACCAAAGCGGACGTGGCGCGTCTTCCTGGGCGGAATTTTTACCCGTTCGTTCTTTCCTTCCATGCACACACTCGCCATCTTGGAAAGGCGTGTTTCACGCACATGTGCTGTGTCACCTGTAAATCATGAGCAAAATTTGCATTCGATAATCAAGTTAACATTAGATTAACGACAAGCCAATAGGCAATCACAACACATGCAGGCCTGAAAAATACGATGATTTAATTATGGATTTCATCTTACGAATTTAAAATTCTCAATTTTTCTATCCTCATCATTCAACTTAAGGAGAAACCATTTTTCAATAAATGATCATTGTTTGACCCAGGCCATTTATCTTTTGATTGCGATAAGAACATAAGTAGGTGACAACTTACCAATAGTATATACCAATTGCAACATTACAGCTATTGCGACAAATGCCTTTAGGAATACGTACAACAGACTCAGTACAACAAGAGTAAATTTCACGCGTCATACATGTAGAATATTACTTCGATCTTGTCTTAATCTTAGAGTGTTCATTTCTCTTAATAGACGATTGTAAACTAAAAATACGTAACATTTAATAGTTTTAACTTGTTCTGGATCTACCATAATATCACAAAAATATCATATTAGTATCATAATGCATATGGTACATAATGTAACGGAATATAACCGAAACGTCCGCAAATTGTGACTAAAAGGACGCTTGTGGCGAATTATTTTCAAAAGTTATTCAATAAAATGGTCATTTGACAGGTCTTAGCTCAGCGTTAATTCAATTAAAAGGAGGACCAATCAAACCAGCGGATTTCATCTGATAATGAGGCTCAAAAGTATGCAGACATTAAGTCCAGGTGCCGCATTACGTCATGCGAGGTAGTAACGTAATCCTCCAGGCGAACTGAGTAGATATGTTGGGTTAAATATAGGCAGGAATGGGTGTAAACATTAGCGTTTAAAGTAAAAATAGCGCAAGCAATTACAGAACTAATTATTGCAATATCTTCTATATGGTACATTCTTCACGTCAAGATGATTTCTGGACGCTTAAAACTGATAATAAGAACAAAATCAAGGAAACATGACCTCGTTGGCGAAGGTAATAAAGCGAGTCAACTTCAATTTTTCGCTCCAGTTTTTCCACCCAAGCCTTTCTAGAAGTGTAATAATTCATACCTGAGGTGTCCAGAAGAATCTTTCCATCCCTGGCGAACGTGCACCATTCTTTACAAAGTTTACCCCCTCACGCTTTAGTTAATTGGAGGCATCCACAGGCCATGATGCCAATTCATCACACGTGTCAATGAGGGCCTCTAGCAGTTCATGAAGTTATTGCAGGTACTTGAGGGGATTTTTCACGTGCAATAATTTCAATATTTTCATATTTTCAATAATTTTTGATACATGGCGCAGAGGGTCATTAGCCTATGTATCCTTGATGCTGATTGGTTATCATCACGGCAACATTTTTGAGTCATTGAGCCTGATTGGCTAATACAATTCCTCGTTGGTGATTGGGTTAGAAACAACGATGACGTGTCACTTTACGACCAAATATGGGCAACCAACTCGAAACTAAACAGCCACGCGTTCCTTTTCATGTAAAAACTGAAGTTACGGAGGATTTGCGGACGAACGGGACTATTGTGGGCAATTATGTTCCCCCAGATAAGCTACAGAGTTGTAAGAACTGCCTTTAAAGAGAAAAGGAGCCGATTTATGAGGTTAGGAGAGGTGAAAATGCTAGGCAACCGCGTAATACTATCATGAACAGGGGAGGGGCATTGTGTAGGGATGGCTTTCAGCACCAAGGACAGGGATAGCTTCAGTTTGAACCTTGTCTTTTCTTCATGACAACAAACTGAATATTAACACACTGACTGCAATATACGAAGGAAATCAATTTGTGAATTTTCAGTGTCAATCTCAATATCATATGAATGGAGACATAGTGACTGGGATCCCAAATGTTACATACAGTAGCTTGCTGCTTATAGTACATCAAATATACAAGGGTTTACAAGAAGTTGTAGTAATATACGCATGTATGCAAATGTTTTCATAATACTCATTTGCATACTTGTGACTGGCTACCTTTACCAGATACCATGCCCCCGTATTAATACTCCCGGGTTCGATCGAACTCAAAAGACACCATAAATCCACAAAGAAATATATATTTTCACTAAAGGTTCTTTGAATTGTGCATATTTTCACTACATCTGGCTATGCAGCAGTGGAAAACAGTGTTTTGGCGCATACTTTTAAACAGAGAATTTATCAAAACCGGACACCCCTCTGTGCGAAGTGTAAGGAAAGTGGACCGGACTGATAATACCTTAAATACACCAAAGGTCAACATGCACGGCCATTTTCAGGGTCAAAGTGGTGTTCGGGTGCCAACCAAAGTCTTAATTTTCCCAACCGAAAACACATATACAATAAAAGCAAAAGAACGTGCATCATCTACAGCCCAATAGCAAAACAAATACCGAGTCCAAAAAAAATCCGTCCACCCCAACGTGAGAAACAGCTGCGAACATGAAAATCCCAAACCATTTTAATACCCTTCTGCGGAAGGATGTCTCCTTCCCTGGAGGTAACAAAGAGTAATCTTGCGTAATACCGGTACAAAGCAATCAGCACATCGACTCTTCCAGAGCTCTTGCTTCATTTATAATAGAGAGTTAAACCGAATATAACAAAAGCTTGTGAATGCTGTGCTATTCCTATATATTTAACACCACACCATGATATTACATAGATTTTTGGCCTAACTAACAGCTAAGAAATTCTGAAGAATTGAAAAAGTTGTTTGCATGTACATGTATAAACCATAATTATGTATGACTATCACCAACAATACACCTTGGGTTACATGGGGATTCAAACATGGTAAAACATGACTCATATATACAGCTTTTACAAAATTATAGATTACTGTATTTTACTCCAAAAAGTTGCATGTTAAGTAAATACAGTATAGGAGTGATATAGGCATGCTCATTAGATATAGCTTCTATTCAATCTGTACAATTCACACACCAACATTTGGACAACAGAATCTTTCCTAACAGCCAACATAACACAGGTAACGTTACATGTAGATAAGTGTAGCTGTAAGTGACTACATCTGAAGAAATCATTTGTGGCAAAATATAACAGTAGTAAGTAAGCTTAGATGGCATTTCAAAGGCTTGGTTGGTATACGACATCAAAGGAAGTTATCTAAGTACGGCCACAGCAAGGAATTTTTATGGATGACATCAGCGCACATTAATTTTTGCCTGATTTTGGAAAAAAAAAATTTTTGTTGCCTTCTGACAGTGGTCAACATGCCGAAAATGGGCAAAGATGTCTGTTGCCATGTCAGAAGATGGATGGCAGATAAGTATTAAGACAAGACAAGTATTAAGAGAAGACAAGAAAAGGCTCTGATTTAATGTTTTGTGTCTTACTTTGATGCAGTGATATGTGATGCTGGCTGTGTGTATGTGATGTTCCCACTGAATCAAAACCATTTGTACAATAATTGAGTCAAAATTTAAAAATGTAGGAAACTTGTTTTTTTTGGCCCGTCTTGTTTTTTTTTGCCTGCTTGCATTAGATTTGGAGTCTGCAGAGGATGTCATTCATAAAATTTACTTGCTGTGGCCTAAGTTACATGTACAGCACTGTACTATCATTTGAGCAAAGACAGCCTTGTCTTTTGATCTTAAACTTAAAGAATGCATATACAAATGTTGTGTGTTGTTACATCTGCCTGAGTTGTGCGAGCCTCTGTGACAGTTCGTCCTGTTGTTCGGAGGCGGTGGAGGGTGTCCCGATGGTGCTGGTCTGGCCCTGGGGCAGCTCCATGTTCAACTCTAGCCCAGCTTCATCAGCCACCTGGTGCATCAGGTGGTCCACCTGGTCCGTCGGGACGTTCAGGGTCGTGGTGCCGCTCATGGCGTCCTCCATCTGCGCCGACTGCACGTCCAGATCCTCAAACTGCCGCTCGAACTTGTCCATGAGCGCGGTGACCTTCTCCAGGTTCATGGAGCGCATCGCAGCGTCCATGGACTTCACCACACCAGCCATGTCCTTGGTCACCTGGGTAGTAACATTGTGAGGAAAACATTAATGTGCGATGTTTTTAGTAAGCATGCCCGTAGCCAGGATTTTGAATGGGGGATTCTTCCCACTGCTTGAGGGACTGAGCACCGAAGGCACGAGGTTCCCAGGGGGGTACGTAGGCATACTCGTACGTAGGAAATTTTGAGAAATGAACCTTCTGAAATGCCTTTCCTGCATTTTTTAAAAGAGGATTTGAATTCAAAGAAAAAATCAGAGATAACTTTTTCAATGACAATGAGCCGTTTTCCTACGATTCCAGCCTTGCTGGTGACACGAATCAGTCCATCTTTAAGAAAAATCTTGGACCTTTAGATAAAAAGTGGACCAAAAAGTGGACCTTTGAGCTTTGTGGGGGGTTTGTCCCTCTGGCTACGGGTATGGTACATTTGTAAACAAAACGTTGTATAATGAGCAATACACTTGGGATTGCCATGACGTCACAGCCAGCAAGTGGTAAAAAAACAGGTGGCTGATTTAGTGATTTGCAACAAAAAATAACTGAGGAGGGGGGGGGGGGGTTGAAGAGGTCAGATTTTACATATGGGGGTTGTAGTGGGTGTGGATTTTGTTGGATTTGGATTGAGGGGGATTACAAGAAGAAAACCCTGGATTTGGATGAAATCATAGGGGGTCAAGTCACTTGGATGAAATTTATAAGGGGCCAAGGTACCTGGATATGGATAAAATGAAAGGGGTCAAGGCCCTCGGATAATAATAACCGGAGTCAAAAAGTAGAAAATCCAAGCTCTTCAACCCCCCCCCTCCACATTTTTTTTCTAAACAGCCCATTCTTCTCAAAATCTGATTGGTGCGGGTAAAACTTGTCTGTTTGGTGAAGGTAGGTTTCATTGTTATTATAATTTGTTAAGTACTTGCACCAGTACAGTTATGCAGAAAGAATTTTGTCGAGCCCTAGTACATGTACAGACACTGTGTGTACGTTGTGTACGTTTAGCTGGTTCACTCACCTTCTTCATGGTGACGGCCGTCTGTACCCTCTGCGCCACGGCGTCTATCCTGGAGCTCATCCGCAGGTAGTTGAGCGACTGGTTGTGCTGTCGGATGGAGTTCTCGGCGTGAATGCGGGCGCCTTCCATGTTGTTTTTCTGGATCGCCTTCTTCAACTTGTTCTTTTCCTCCTTCTCCATTTTGTCGCACTTCTTGGCGTTCCTCTGCAAGTCCTTGGCAGCGAATTTCAGATTAAAGAGGTGTTTCTCCATGTTCGACATCTTGAAGGCTTGCCTGTCCTGCTACAAGGTGTTTGAAAGCGTTGGGAGTGACCAGAAACACAGAAAGTCACACAGATATTACACACAGATGATGACGAAGTGACTCTGAATCATCCGGAAATTCTGGTGCTGACGTCACGTGAGGGTGAAAGGTTGACAAGGGGGAAGAACGCTTCCGGGTCAGGAGCGCACCTGGCGGAATTATCTAGAGCTGCAGCGAGCAACTTTTGCAGGTGTTTTTTCCGGGTCCGGTCGGGTTTGCCCATATAACGGTGCACACACAAAGGGTCGATACAACTAACCTGCTGTCCAATCGGCCTTAATATTGTCTTGGATACTGTATATCTTTATGGGATATTTTCGTATGTATTGTCAGGTTCCTCAGATGACTATTTCTTGAGAGGGGTGAAGGAAGCCATATACATGTGCATCAGGGCCCATCACCCCACATTGAACCGCGACGGGGGTCGACATCGTCTACCAGATACCTTTGACCCAGTGTTGACGTCACACTTCAAAGAAGCCACGTGACAAGCTTCACTGGGTCAGTCTACTGAGGAAGACCAGAGCGACTGGTCGAAAGCTCTAGGTGAGAGAATCTTTGTGTTGGATCAAAAGTTTTAACTTTAAACAACAATGAATGCAGTTTCGGAGAATCGTGATCGGGCACAGTCTGAAAGGAATGTATGGCACTTGGACCAGATGTGAGGAATGCGAGTTACCCGAATCGCGGTTCGGGTGGTTTCATATGAACAAGGCCAAAAAAAAACGGGTGACGATTGGCTGACGGCCGCGCGGTCTACCGTAGATTTGCACATGTCTCTGAATAATTTGAAAATATGTATGATGTAAACAAAACAAACAAAAAAAAACCGCCGATTGTTCGTATTCCAGATTAATAGAGTAGCGATTGTTGTTCAATGTAAATTTTTCTATCTCAGTTTACTTAAAATCTGAAGTACAGTAATCATATTTAGAGGATATTAATAGTAATACTTAAAATCTGAAGCACAGTAATCATATTTAGAGGATATTAATAGTAATAGCTAAATAAAATGGCAAAGTTATAAGAGTGCACGGGCTTGAATATGTTAATTTTAATGGCGATTAAATGTAGGACATTTTAACTCGTAATATTTAGCGATATGTCACTTCCTTTTAGATTGATAATTGTATAATGTCTATTTCACATGATCAATCTGGTAGCCAAAAATCTTGTAGAAGAATATTGTACAATTGTAACATTTAGAAATACATAACTAGTAGGCACTATGTATACGTAGAAATGCGGCATCGCTTATTTATATAATTTTACTATTATTAGTTTACATTGAATGATTGATATTTTATTACGTACTATATCATGAAATCAGAATATTACCAATTCCTTTCAACTGAATTTTATCTTAGTAAATCTCCACAAAATGGAAGTACTTTCGAATTCCATGCGGTGCCAGTGAAAAAGGACAAAAAGATGTTCGAACATCATGGAAAAGATAAACATGTGTCCACGAAAGAAATTTTACATCTTTACACTGCACTGTTATATATTCACATTGATTAGCAACGCGTAATGCACATAATTTTGAATAAAACTCGATTATTCAAATGGACGTGTTACCTATTATTTGTAGTTAAAGAGTAGTCAGTTTTGCACATCTAAGATACCGACAGTAAAATCATGGGATACAATTATGTAATACGTCGATGTTAACAACATACAATATAGAAAGTCTACGGATGGAAACCGGTACATTTTTAACAGATACTATACTGAGGTTAGTACAGGGTAAAGCCTTGTCAGTACAACGTAAAGCGTTTAATTGTGCAGATGTTAAGTCTGTGAAAAGTTTACTATCTTATCGTACATTCCATGAACCTTGAATGACACCAAACAATGTACCATTGCTGTCACAAAAAACGGAACTTCGCTTGAAATCCTAAAACGGGACATAACCATATCGGCCGCCTGGCGACTGTAAGGTGAACGGCAGGGAGAATGACGTCATGACGAAGGGCAGGGCCATGGCAGCCAGGGCAGCGATGATCCACTTGATCGTGACGTAACAGAACGCGAAGTAGTATAGCGTAGGCTGGCAGAACGATGTTGTTGTGGGGTCTACAGTGATGACGCTAGGGTATACAGAGTACACCCACACATTACCTTGGACGAAAAGAAAGACATAAATATGAATCAATATTTTGTGCAATAAGAGAAAACTTCAAGGTTCATTTAAATTCACAATTGAACTTGTAATTGTGCTTGTCATGTTTTGTTACAACTCTCTTGTTTCACCGGTACTGCTAATACTAGCAGCTTGCTAGAGTTCATCAAAACTGTGTATTATACTTTCTGATTTTGACCTATAGATAAAAAAAAATTAAAACTCGAAATGTCCTTGCTTGTTCCAGCAACCACCCGCGAACTAATCATCAATTTTTGAAACTAAACAAATAAACTAGAAAGGTAACATTTGCAAAGCAAATGCATAATGTTTACCTTCACATATGGTCTGCTCTGTTCAAACATTCATATATATGGTCAGACAGGAGTCTAAATCCCTCCTGCTATAAAATTGCAACATGGTGTAACCCAACACTAGTTACCATGGTAACAGACAGTCTGTTTCAGGTCATTGACCTTCTTGGTTTGGAGAAGAAGAGGAAACGTAGCAAAAACAATATGTTTTCCTTCGGTTAACATAATAATCACCTGCAATAAACCATCCCGCTATCAGCAGCACCACAGGTATGTTGTACCTGTCGCAGGTGTAGCTGCAGCAGCAGGTGTCCTCACGGCGGTCACGTGGTCGCCGCACACCTGTCAGGCCTCCCAGCAGGCATAGCGCGCCGGAAACCACGAGGAACACTGGGATTTTCTCCTCCACGGCACACTGGTGCACATGCGCAGCTCCTGTGGAACATGTGACGTCATCAAGGTCAATGTCCTGGTTCACTATATTCATGTTATATGAAATGATATAATCTTTATAAAATAAGAATTATTGAATTAAGGATACGATTGGCTAATTAGGAAAATGGTTTGTGTATCTTAAATAAGTGGATTTGAAAGGGAGGAAACGAAGAAAAAGGAAAGCGGAATTGGGTATGAAAGCGGATCAGCCACAGCCCATTGTATATTCAAGTTAATTGTATCAATGCATAATGAAGTATAGTAATGTATTGTATAATAATGAAATACACTAATGTAGTCTAACTGCTAAACCATGCAACGCTTTGTGTGCTGTGTACGTCAGGTAAAACTCTGATCCTAGTTCTTACCGACTCCGATGGCTGCGAGTTCCACTCCGGCAAACGTTAAAACGAGAAGGACGGTTCCGAACATTTTCCACTGAGGACCGCCACACCCACTGGAAACAAGAAATCAGAATTTTCAGACCTCTCACAAGTAGTATACACTCACTGGTTAAAATAAAGATTTTGTATTCATATTATGCTGACTGGTAGCTTGAATTTCGTGTTGAGAGTCAGTATTGCTTACTCATCAACTCACTTCAGTTTGTATTGATTCCAATCGATCTATCCAACATTGCAACACACAAACTCATTTTATCACACAAATGCTTAAACATAATTGCAGTATAATGCCAATTTACCTTTCTTTTCTTGTCAATGTTTGTAGAAAACTAGATATCCTTACCGTCTGTGCCGAGACTTGTGTCGTCCGACTGCCGGCTGTACAGTCGAAGGAATGGTTTGGTGTTTTCTGACTCCATGTCTGCCATGTTGGTCCTCACGGTCGGTCCTCTTTACACAGTGACGATCTAGAGTTTTTAAACTTGAACACCACCCTTTTTACCTTTACGGACACTTCACGTTGTCTGGTTTACCAAAAATGGATGCCGATGTGAAGTGTATATACACAAATACGTAGTTGCAGTGACTCTGATGCAATGATTTGATAATTTGTGAAAAATAGGAAGTCGTCAATTGTAAGTCCTCGGTGGGTGGCATAGTTACGTAGGTAGTAAATGGTTGGAATACAGAAAACCCGCCCAACATATGTGCATGTATAGACTCTTCTCTGTTTAAAGTCATGAGTGTTTTAACGAGTCATGAAACTTTATTGCAAAAAGTTGCCCGAGCGCTAATTGTAAATGCAAACAACATTTATGAAAAAAATAGATACAATGATATGAGAGACTATGTGCAAAGTTAAACTACATTCCACAACATATGTGGAACTAGTTTTGTTTTGTTTGACTTGTCCTTTTGAGGCAGCTGGGAGACAATTAATAGTACTTCCCGTTTCAGCTTAGGCCATACATGGACATTTCCATACAGAAACGTGAATGAAAGGCACAAACGAACTTGTTCTTGTGTCGCACTTCTGTTTTCTTGTTTCTGTTCCTGTTCCTCGAAAGCATGTGGGGAGACAGCATTGTCTTATTGTCTCATCTATCTGTCTGATTATTCGCCATTTGGGGTACCACAGACAATCTGACAACCAGTTTCCTCTAGCCTGTGAAACCCAAGCTCTGGGGGGCTCCCTACATACTAGTAGTCCGCCAAGTGAGTGGCGGAGTCTAACTAGGGAGCCGGCGAAAAGCGAGGTTCAGTCAGGCTATGTTTCCTCACCCCTTTTCTCGGTTTTCTGGTGGAACCACATAACATGATTAGGATATCTGTACTATTGAGTGTGGTACTCGTACTATCAGTCTCTCGAATAAACTAGTATCCAGAATGATGTTGGACCACACACATATATTTGATATGCATTTTCTTTCACTGCCTTAGAATGGATAGGATTTCAATAATATCATTACCAAGCTCACAAGCAAAGAGAAGAAAGTGGACATCGCTGCGAGCAAAGTATATTTTACTTATGATTCCAAACGTTTCTTTCTTTAGTCCCGAAACTTAATTTTTAAGGTATAGCAGAGTGTCAAAGTGCACCACGGTAGTTACAATATACTTCATGTTGTATATTCCGTATCCACAATGTATATGTATAGCCGGTATAACCTCCCCTCGGCGTAACACACCAACTTAGGGATATTATCTTTAATGTACATGTACTATACAATATAACGATTGTTACGATTATTGCCATTTTTCGAGGTCGTATTTTCATAGCCATTTTCATCTAGTTCAATGACATGGACTATCTTTATATTCTGGGCATTATTCTGACAACATGTAAGAGTGTAACTCAAATTCAGCAAATGTCTTTCTCTAAATAAACTTTCAAGCAACCAAATAACGTTAAACGAACAAAGCAAGTTGACGAACATGTTATACCTTGTCATCGTCGAAAACGATGGACAAACAACAACAACAACAATGCTAGTATGTAATTTTGTTACATGATTATTCACCTCCGTTTGTTATGTCCTACATGTCTATTAGAAAATGGAAATTTAAAAAGGTCAATGAACTACAGAAACGTGGGATACTTCTCAATAGCCCTTGATTGTATGTAACTTCCTTAATTCCACCAAACATATCGTAGAGAATATGAATTCTCGTATTCTCGTAGAGAATATGAAATACTTTCCATAATATGAAATCTTTTCCATAATGCACCTCAATTCATTAGGTCTTGATTATATATTAGTTAATAACAAGGTCTTATGGACGCTTGTTTATGGTTCATGATTGCGATATTGTACTAACCCTTGGCAAACCATCAGTACTAAAAATTCACTGTTAAGTACTGATCAACTACTAACAGTAAAATTTCAGTAAATCTTCAGTAAATCGTCTTTTACTGTTTTACTGAAGCATTACTGGTAAGTACTGATGCCTCTATTTACTGTTGGCGTTTTAACCAATGTCTTGTTTGACCAATCAGGCCATTACTGTCCATTTACTGTCTATTACTGGACATTTACTGGGATATTTAACCAATCACAGCCTTGCAATGTACAATTCTGCAACACACGCAGTCACACTTTGGCGTAGAGAAAACGATAGATGCACCATCATGTACATGTTAAGGAAGGAATTATACAACCTATTAATAGTTGATGATGCCTTTCACTATTTTGCTACTTCATATTTTCTAAGTCCAACTACTTATCCCCTTGTTTTTCTTACCCCATAACCAATACCAATAGATATTTGGTAGCCAAACGTAACGGCTACTTCGTGCTAATAGTAATAATTAAATATGTGTAGATGTCTTCAAAGCTGTAAACGGTGTTTTCTTCGTACAAAACGTGTTATATGTAGCCTTGCGGTTATCTGTTTGTAAGAGTAGAAGGTAACAGTAGAGTTACAAACAGATATCCCCTGAAGACACTCTCTAACCGTGGAGCCAGGTGTGGGAATGAGTTTCTTGCCAAAGTTGTCCGGACTTCTTCAGACTCCTGAAAATTAATATAATATTTTCAAAGTATGAAAAAATGTGTTTGTGTTAGAACTTGTGTTGTGTTAGGTATCATTTCTTACAATAGAGTGCACAATCACAGAACTTTCATGCTACCAATATGTGTTTATTTTTTGCAAATAGCGGTAGATGGTGAGAGAGACTTGACAAGAAAGGATGTCTTACCTCAAGATATCGATGAAGGCGTCCCCTAGCGACTTTACCGTGTAATCCAGGCCGTGCTTCTGACAGAGCGACTTGACCAGAGGGGTGGCCTTGTACAGGTTGTGACGTGGCATAGTCGGGAACAGACTAAAATAGGGTTGAAAAACCGTTAGAAGAAGGTTTCAGATAGATATCACATCTTTGTCTGAGATATATTTTCTTATCTAAATGACGTTTTCATAGAAATTTTGTGAACATTGTGACACCTGAAGATGAAAATAGAAGTGAAATATTTCACTTACTGATGCTCGATTTGGAAGTTGAGATGTCCGGTGAACCAGTCGTTGAAGTGACTCTTCTCAACGTTGCAGGTAGCGTGCATCTACAGGGAGGATATGTAAAAACATATGTAAATTCTTCCGAAAATAATTTCATCAGGTTGGTAGAACTTAGGAGACAGGTATTTCTTTTTACACAACCGGTAAATTCTCA